CTGTTTCTAGCATCACAGCAGCAGCAGCAATTGCTGCTCGAGATAACTTAAACTTGCTGCTGCTGCAGTTTGTATAAAGCCAAATAAATTTAAAAAAAGAAAAGAAAAAAGACAAAAATATAAAATATAAAACAGCCCCAAACTCGCTGCATGCAGCAGCAGCATTGGGGTGTATAGGCAGCTTAAACATAAACTAATTTATAATTCGCAGGCTCCAGCAGCAGCAGCAGCAGCTGCTGCTGCTGCTGCTGCTGCATGCGCATGCGCATGAGCGCATGCACGTGCTGCAGCAAGGGGGGAGATCCCGCAGAGCTTGCTGCTGCTGCTGCTGCTGCTGCTGCTGCTGCTGCTGTTGTTGTTGCTGCGTGTGCTACTGAAGGTGGGGATAGTCTGGCTGCTGCTGCTGCCGCCGCTGCTGCTGCTCCTGTTGCTGCTGGCGCTGCTGCAGTTGTTGCTGTCGCTGCTGCTGCTCCACTTGCTGCTGCCGCTCCTGCTGCTGTTGCTGCTGCTGCCGCTGCTGCCGCTGCTGTTGTTGCGGCTGCTGCTGCGGCAGCTGCTGCCGCTGCTGCTGCTGCGGCTGCTGCTGCGGCAGCTGTTGCCGCTGCTGCTGCTGCGGTTGCTGCTGCGGCAGCTGTTGCCGCTGCTGCTGCTGCGGCTGCTGCTGCGGCAGCTGTTGCCGCTGCGGCTGCTGCTGCGGCTGCTGTTGCGGCTGCTGCTGCCGCTGCTGCTGCTGCGGCAGTTGTTGCCGCTGCTGCTGCTGCCGCTGCTGCTGCGGTTGCTGCTGCCGCTGCTGCTGCTGCGGCTGCTGCTGCGGCTGCTGCTGCCGCTGCTGCTGCTGCGGCAGTTGTTGCGGCTGCTGCTGCCGCTGCTGCTGCGGTTGCTGCTGCCGCTGCTGCTGCTGCGGCTGCTGCTGCGGCTGCTGTTGCGGCTGCTGCTGCCGCTGCTGCTGCTGCTGCTGCGGCAGCTGTTGCGGCTGCTGCTGCCGCTGCTGCTGCGGTTGCTGTTGCCGCTGCTGCTGCTGCGGCTGCTGCTGCGGCTGCTGCTGCCGCTGCTGCTGCTGCGGTTTCTGCTGCGGCTGCTGCTGCTGCTGCTGCTGCTGCGGCTG